AAAGAAGAGAGAGTATTATGGCACATGATGTTTAACAGGAAGCAGAAAAGAAACCTATCATGTCTTGGAGTTAAGCAACGTAAGACTAAGCCTCGGTGTTTCCTGCAACTGTTCCAACATTTATCTGTGTTATCCACATTTTCTCTACCTGTACCTGTTAATTTGGGATGTATTTGTTTTCACTAATAGCCAGTCTAGTTGAAGTGATTGTAATTTTTCTTTAGCTTCCTCAATTCTTTCAAGCATAACCAAAGGTAAGAACTAAGTTAGTTGTAAAGAGAGCTTCAGATCAAGACCTTTTCCTCTGCAAATTGTCTAAAGTCTCCAGTATGTTGCATTAACACCTAGAGTTCTGCAAGAACACTCCTAGTTGTCCAAGACTATTCCAATATATGTCTTTGCTTCACAAGGAGAGCAGAGGGAATAAACAATGAAAGAAGAAAGAGAATTCAACCGATTATAAAGAGGAAACCAGAGCAGAAGTGTTCTATCAAAGGCTGATAGAGTTCACCTACCTATGGTTTATCCAGTGTGGAATATTGTAGTCATCACCCAATCTGGAGTCACCAGGTCCACAGCGATTGTGGAGCTGTAACAGTAATTCAGAAGCATAGCAATTATTTGTGTCTAGCTAGTCACAAAACTAGTAACATTTCTAGTAGGAGTGAAAAGAAGGGAAAAGCAGCATGTATTACCTTAAAGAGTGGTACAGCATGCAGTGGTTGTTCTCCCATGCATACCAAATCCACACCTATCCCTGTAAACAAAGAACAGTAGAGTTCAGCTATCTACCAAGGAGGACTGATATGCTAAGCCAAAACAGATCACCAATTTGACCTGAAGGCCCAATTTGTATTCATACCAGATTGAAAGATGTAAATATATAATACATACATGAAATCATACTGAAAACGGTAGTTAACAGTCCCATGGTATGGTTACAAACGAACAGTATCACTGAGGATATAAGAAATGTTTCTTCTAAACTAATGCAAGTCATGCAAGAGTATCCTTTAAGGGACAGGTCTGCACGGACAGATGAAGTTCTCTGTCACAAACAAAAGAAACTAAATGTCCGTAAGTTCTCAGAAAATCTGTCTATTTGAGTACGAAGTGCAGACAAGTCTCCCAGCTGTAATCCCTCTTCCCAGGGACTGTAATAGAAATTACAGCAGATACTTTTTCATAGCAAGAAAAGGCGACAGCTTTTCCAAATGTATCTGTTTGCCTTCATACAGATTGCACAGTCTCCTTAGTTACTTACCATTGTCTATCATCCGCTGTTTGGTTAGAATCATCAGGAGTCGATCAACTTCAAATACACCCACACCAGGTGTGATAACCACGGACATCTGGCCAGTCCGATCAAAGTTCCTGTTTATGTAATGCTTGTCAAACACTAAGAAAAAGAATAAGGAAATACTTCAAAAGAAAAAATACGCCGGATGTTTTTCCAGAGCAAGGAAGGTGACTCTCTATTAACAGTGGTATTAAACAAGCTTCCACAAAGCACACTCAAGCATGAAAGGGTTTGTATGCTGCCTTGTTCAACCAAACAACGTTAATAAAGGTACAGGAGAGAAAAGAGTTAGGTCAGAAGAGAAGATGGGAACCAGCTACATAAAAAGGAGAATTTTTCTTACATGCTTAGTGTTTCCTTTAAAAGACTCAAAACCAAAAAACCCAACCCCAAGACTAACAAACAAACCCCAAAAAACCCAACAAGGCAAAGTCCATTACTAATCAATTTAAATAACATCCTGTGCTCCCTCCCATGAGAGTAACAGCACAGCCATTAAGGTGACAGAATGACATCTGACACACAAGACATTTTCTTCTGAGGCTGAAAATGACAACTTAAGCACCTAATATTCCCAGCCTCTTCACACTGTTATGGAACAGGCAACAGAGGTTCACATGCATGTATTGACAGCTTCTTTAATGGTTCATCCCCTGTATATTTTTACCCATTGTTCATAACTCACCATTGAATGAAAGATTTATAGCCTCCAGGTAGTTCCCTTGTGCAGAGGTAGAATTGTAACCTGGAGGAAAGCCCTCTGGACAAGTGTTCAAAAAGGAAAAAAGGAAAAAAATATGATCTCTGTATAGACTAGTTTTTCTTTAGAGAAAACAAAAACAAAATCCCCCAAAACCCACATTTGTAGTAAATCCTATCAATTCAACAAATCATGGGCAAAATTGATATTGGTGGATCTCACAGAAAGACCCAAGCAAAAGAGCCTTGCCAGGACAGCACTAACAAAAAAAATAAAAATAAAATTTTAAAAAATAAGAGAGAGAGAGACAAAAGATTCAAGGCATGGGAAAAAGAGGACTCTTGTACCTGCTTGCTCTAGTCGTACCAACACAGGATACTGGATGAAAAGCTTTTTAATGGTCACAAGCAACGAGGTCCACTCTTCTCGTCTCTCATTCTGAACTACAACCCTAGAAAGAGCACAACGTAATGAGAATCACGAGAGGAAGTTATGAAGAAGTCAGAAGGGATAAACAAACTACAGAAAAAGAAATGCACAAAAAGGTCTTTCTTCCTTCTGCTAGGCAGCACACTAGAACTACTGCATTCTTGTAGCAATCACTAAGGTGCAGATGCACACACAAGGCTAGGCACATCACCAGCCAGAATAATCTCTTGCCTCAATGGGTGACCAACATTATATATCAAATGGCACTGCTGTTCTGCAAAGCAGCAAGATCATTAACAAGTCCAAGCTCAGAATCAAATGACAGCTTCAACAGCTGCATCTGTTGTGACCATCAGCCAAAGAGCTCCAGTACCTAACTGGAAACACTTGTGGTTTCAGCAATGGCACCATCTGTTCTTCAACTACTTGAGAACGTACATATCTGAGAAATAGCCAGGCCTTATGCAAAAACTACCCCAGCACTACAGAACTTTTCAGGGTTTCAGCGTGGCACCATCTGTTCTTCAACTACTCGAGAACGTACATATCTGAGAAATAGCCAGGCCTTATGCAAAAACTACCCCAGCACTACAGAACTTTTCAGTTTATTGGCAATTCCAACAGAGTACAGACAACACTATATTCACGTGCACGTGGAAGACTGACTTAGCAAATATGGGTGTGCACTGACAGACGGAATGGGAACTACTCATCAGTTTGCTGCCCATTTCAGACATGGATGGTTTTCACTATCTTAATTCCTTGCAGGGTCTTACGGTTAATAACACTGTATTCTCCACACAGGTTGCACACACACTATGGGAGAAGAAGTGAAAGAAGTGGGAAGAAGACATACTTGTAAAAATCTTCATAAAATCTTCCCTCGTGATCCTGCCGAATTGATGCACGATGCGTTTCAGGAAACTCATCTGAAACAGAAGCAAAAGCATCTATTATCCTATGACTCATCTTTTCTGGTAAGGAGCTGTTACTTCCATTTAAGAAAAAACAAAGCAAACACTTGGAGAAATATCAGATCTCCTACACAGCATTAAAGGTGCTTTTAAAACAGCAGGACAGCTTAAGTATGATGAGGAAAATTTGGCATACATTGTTCTATGTAACATTTTCACTGCAGTACTTTAAGAATGGCTGTGTATCCACTGTGCTTCTTAGGGAATACTTTGAACATGAGCATTAAAAAAAAAAAAAGGAAAAAAGTAGCTGGCAGCCTGTGACCAACCGTCAAGATAGGAGGAGAGAGGTTTAAAACCAGAAATATGAAAATACAGAATTTACATACCTATAGATTTTGCTTCATAAAACGTTCTGGAAAACAGAACCACTGTCACTTCATGGCTACAATTCTTCTCCTGTCCAAGAAGAACAGATGAATAAAAGAAAACCTTAAGGGTCACAGTCAGTAGAAAACTGTGTGTATACGTGTATTGTAACACCCTCTTTCCCCTCACACTTAGGACCAAAGATAACTAGAAAAAGGTAGACTGCTGTATTAATATATCTGCATGAGTGTTGCATAGGCCTCTGTGAAATAACATAATGGTCTGTGCCGTAGGTTCTGTGCTTCTAGACTCTCCACCAGTCTCTAAAAAAAAATCCTCGCTGCAGCTGCCAAGATACAAGATTTTTGTTTAAAAAAAATAAAGACAGTTGACCCAATTTGTTTATGCACACTCATGGCAATTTGATATTCTTATTCGTTACTGTTTAGAGAGATGCCCCGAACAATTCCAGAGAAATAAAAAACTAAAACTTTAACAGTTACAGTGCTAACACATGCAATGGAATTCAGCTGTAAAGAGCACACTGGCCATCCTCTTGAAAGGAAAAGCTTGAAAAATCCCAAGAGCCCTGGCAACACTCAGGTCCATATCCAACATGGTACAGTAGTACTAAGAGCAAAACAGGAGTTTTACAGATGTATCATGCAGGGCTCCTAATAACCCTCCAGTGGACAAAAAGCACAAAAGAAATGAGACAAATCTGTTGGGCATCAAGCTCATAATGGTCCCAAAAGTTAAGGAGAGCAGCAGCATCATTAAGATGGCACTGACTTGTTCTTTCAGAACCCACTCAAGGATTTACCTTCCATTTTGTGAAGAGGTCAGCAAGGAAACCATTTACAGCTTTCTCAAAATACAGGTCCCCTGCAAAGTAAACATCGCCAAAGCATCAGGTAACAGCAGTTATCTCAACTATGGAGTATATTCAACCCTGAGATTCTAGACAATTATTTTTATTAGAAACAGAGCGGTTATGTGCATAATGAACACTAAAATCACTAAAGCAAAGATGATAAAGAGATTAAAAAGCATGACTATGTTTCAGAGGATGTAAACAAGACTCTTCCTGTCAAAAGGATCTGACCTTTAAATTCATTTTTCAAACACATTTGCAGCATGCTGGGAAAGCATCTGTACTATCTTTTAGGCATAGTGTGCACAACTGATCCCCTGCTCAGTTTTGAATAGCTGCCCAGTTACATATGCCTGAACACATGGTCAAAGGAAGTGGTAAGAGGTTTGCTGAAGAATTAAGCCAGGAGAAAAAAAATAGGACAATGACACAGATAAGGGACTTATTCTTAATGCCTAAAGTTTTAATACTTCTAGCTGACTCTACCTGGGCTAAGGCAG